ATTCTGGTGAGGGTGTTGTTTATCCTCACCGGAATAAAATTCACCAGAGATGAGGAGAAGAACAAACAACTCCCATTCCTGGACGTCATGGTAGAGTGCAAGACAAATGGGGAACTGCAAACGAAAGTACACCGAAAAGCCACGCACACAGACCAGGTATTGAACATCAATAGTAACCATCCCAGCGCACACAAACCAAGCTGCGTGCGAACACTATTTAAAAGGGCAACAACACACTGCAGCAACATGGAACTACGCCAAGAGGAGGAGGAATACCTCTTCCAAGTGTTCAAGGATAATGGATATCCAAAGAACTGGGTCAGGAGATGCCTACAGGAACAGCATCAGAAAGATTCTACACGCCCCGACACACTCATCACACTACCCTACATCAGGAACACGTCAGAACTCACCACAAGACTTCCACGACCACTGGGCATCAGAGTGGCACACAAACTCACATCAACCCTATGACAAGTGCTCACCCGAACTAAAGACCCACTCCCCGCCATGGACAGAACCAATGTCATCTACAAGATCCCCTGCAGAGACTGCGAGACACACTACATCGGACAAACAGGAAGGAAACTAACAACAAGAGTACATGAACACCGATTGGCTACAAAAAGACACGACCAATACTCACTCATCTCAATCCACATGGACAAGGAGAACCACGACAACACCAAAATCCTGGGACAGGCTAGGCAAAGACAAGCATGAGAATTCCTGGAAGCATGGCACTCCACGAAGCAGGCTATTAATAAACACATTGAACTGGACCCCATATACATTCCATTACGGAGGAAACCTGGAAGTGAGGCAATCCATCGCAACGGACCCCAGAGTTTAAAAGCCAGGCGGGAAAACACACCGACGCTTCATCAGAGGCTGCACTGAGGATGTTACCAAGCACGGTAACAAAACGTCTGCGGAACAACAAACCAGCTTGGTGAGCCAACCAACCTCAACATCAAAATGTCTTCTATTGGCATAATAAGAGGTTTGTCAGGGAATTGGAGCCAATTAGGGAGAGAAATGGCAATCTGTGGGAGAGGCAGAAGGCATGGTTTAGCCATAAATGACCACTATTATCACTGTATGGAAGAGGTCAGTAGTCACACGACACCAGGTTATAGTCCAACAGGTTTATTTGGAATCACACAAGCTTTCGGACCGCAGCCCCTTTGTCTTCGGACATTGTGCCGACTGTCCAACACCAGCACCTCCACATTGTGTATGGAAGAGGAGTTTATCAAGGTCATGTGAATGGAGGCTTTTGGGGTACTGGATGAGGTTTGCAAAGAACAGACCTTGAAGGTTTGGCAGTATGTAACGTGAATAAGTCACCAACCCAGATAGAATATTTCCTAGTCTGCTGAGGGATGTATTAGCCACAATCTTCCAATGCTCCTTAGATACAGGCGCAGTGCCAAATGACTGGAGAATTTTAAATGGTATACCTCCCTTCAGCAAAGGGGAAACAATAAATCTGGCAATTACAAGCCAGTTAGTTTAATGTTAGTGGTCAGAGCTTTTTTAGAAGTAAAATTCAGGTGAAATTAATAACAAATTGTACAAACACAGATAATAAAGAAGAGCTAGCAAGAACTTATTAAGGGCTAACTTGGTTGGCTAATTTCATTAACTTTTGCGATGAGGTAACAGAATCTAGTTGAAGGAAATTCATACAATGATTTGCAGGTGTGTATTTGATGCACAATGAAGATTGAAGTGTACACTGTAAGTGCACTTACACTTACAGAAAAATTACAAGCTAAACTGTATAATTTTAAGAGGCTTACAAAATCAGAGACCTTGGGTATTCTTGCACAAATCTTTTAAGGTACAGCTTAACAAAGCTGTTAATAAAAATAAAATGTGGCTTGGGTTTCATAAACGGAAGCACAGAGTTCAAAAGTCAGGATGCTATGTTTCATCTACTGCAAACTGCAGTTTAGCCTCAGAGGGATTTATCATGTCCAATTTTAGGCACCACAATTCAGGAGGGATGGGGAGCTTTCGAGAAGGTTCATTTGAGATTTAATGGCATAGTTCAAAGTAATTGGTAGGCTACTTTTGGAATACTGCATACAGTATTCTGCTATAGGAAAGATGATGTTAAACTTGAAAGGGTTCAGAAAAAATTTTCAAGATGTTGCTGGGATTGGAGGGTTTAAGTTGTAGGGAGAGCCTGAGTAGGCTGGAGCTTTTTTTCCTGGAGCGTCAGAGGTTGAGGAATGATTTTATAGAGGTTTATAATATCATAAAGGCTTTGGATAAGGTGAATAGCTAAGGTCGTTTCCCAGGGTAGGGGAGTACAAAACTAAAGGGCATGGTTTAAGGTGAGACGGGAAAGATTTAAAAGGGACCTAAGTGGCAACTTTTTCACACAGAGAGTGGTGCGTGTACAGGCTGATACGGTTACATCATTTAAAAGGCATCCGGATGGGTAGATGAATAGCAAGGGTTGAGAGGGATATGGGCCAAATGCTGGCAAATCGAACCAGATTAGTTTAAGATTTCTGGTCGGCACGAATGAGTTGGACTGAAGGGTCTGTTTCGATGCTGTATAATTCTATGACACTATAAAAGGGATTATAATTAAGTGGATAAGCTGGAGAAGCTGTGGTTGTTCTCTTCAGGACAGTGAGGACTAGGGAAAGATTTAATCAACGTGTTTTAAATTATGAGGGGTTTAGACAGAGGCAAATAAACAGAAACCATTTCCAATTGCTGAAAGATCGATAAACTAAGAGTAGAGGTGCAAGGTGATTACCACAAGAATCAATGTGAGTGGAAAAAGTACCAAAATCAGTGGAATTTGGAATGCACTGCCTGATAAGGTGATTCAAAAGCCTTCAAAGTGGCACTGGATAAAATAAATAAAAGTTGCAGGAATATGTAGAAAGAGCAAGGACTGTTCTTCAATATAGCTGGTACAGATTCGATGTACAGAATGGGATCCTTCTGATTTATAGTCTTCTGTGACCTCCTTGCTGCAATGTTCTTTAATCTAAGCAAAAAGTACCTATTCCTGTTCCTATTTATGATGTACATGTTTGTGGTGGTTACCAGTGTGGCTTCACATCTTGCATTCTGTAAGGCACTGAGCTGGTGTCACATGCACTATGTCAGGTGTAATCAATAAAACTTTGGCAGTAGGCCAGAAATGGTCTAACCTCAAACTAGTATAATACACTTAGGTCAGACTTGATTTTCAATTCCTTGTGAAATAAAGAAGATTGTTGGTAGATATGAAAATTGCAGGCCTAGGTATTTCATCCATATTTTGCTCTCAAAGGGTATTTTCCTATTAAGAGATTTTTACTGTGGTGGATTCTGTTCCTCTTTATTTGCTCTGTGTAAGGCATAAAATGAAGTTAATAAAGGCAAAATGTGAATATACCTGGGAGTGGAACTTGTGGGCACATGGTAAAACCAGCATAGACTCTACAGTAAGTTCTTCATGACAGATCACACAAGGGTCTTGTTCCTCGGTCTACAAAACACAAGGATTATTTTGAGTTGCAATAATTCTGTAGTATCTCAGTATGCACAGTGGACTAACATCATAGCACTGGTTCAACAATTAAAGTTAAAATTAAAATCTCAAGTGGACTGATGCACATTCTTTATTCAGTGAACTTCTTGATTGTTATGATAATTATAAATATGCAGGTTTTTCTTTCCCACTTCTGGTAAATGGCAAGGACACCAGAGTTTAGAAAAGGGAATGTGCTCAAAGGATTAAGTACCATATGTCCAAATGAAGTATTGAGCATTGGATGCAACCATAGTCCAGTTGGAATTTTGGGATCTTTCTAAACACATTCTTCTTCTCAGTAATAAATATGATTATCCGAACACAAACAGGTCAATGATTTCTCAAACTTTTGCCTTGTGCTCTCAAATTTTCTTCAGCTATGACAAAGGCGACAAAGTTCAAAATACGTTTTATCTAATGTGATACCCGTAAACATCACAGGTTATTTCTGTGCAATCTTTCTTCAGTTATGTAGCAAGTAAAGTCTAGATCGTAGACTTCTTCAGACCACTGATAACTGGATATTGAGCTTACTGGTATTCAAGTTGAATTTGTTAATAGGTGCTCCTTTAATCTTCTTTCTCCCCAACCAAACTGGAGACCCAGTTGAAGAGAATCAATGGTCACCAAATTTTAACGTTACTGAGGACGGGATTCAAGTCCAACTCTCTCTGAATAAGAAGTTAATTCTGCACTATTCAAACTATCTGCTGTATCAATGACAGTTTCAATAAACTGTTGATGCCTTTAAGAAATAAATGTCACAATCCATGCAAATGATCAACAAATGCTTCAAGTCATTGTGTTGTTAAAATTCCAAATCAATAGAAATGCATATTGCCGAACAGTGCACTGGGAGCCTGTGATTTCTGTCACTGAACACTTTGAAAGCTAATGGAAAATCACAGGCTAGAAATGTAGAGTTTCATGGCAAGAATACGGAAGAAGAATTATAGTTTTAAAATGTACGTAAACAGTCTGTCTCAAAGTTTTATATGTATCGTGTTTCAATACATTAAGTGCAAATTACCATTGCCCTGGCTCCTTCCCATGAGTTAAATTCCTGCTGCCTTGATGAACTCCAAGCAAATTTATTAGGGGGCTGATTTTGATCACTGTTGCTGCTCTGAAATGCAAAAAGAACAGTATTAATCACTCTGGAAATTATTTCCTTCATTAAAGCAATACCAATTACTTGCACCCTTTTTTTGAAAAGCTGCATTGCTCAAATTTACCTCAGAGAGTTTTGATTCAACCAACTGTGCTACTTTATTGACAATTTCATCATAGGATAATCCTGAAAGGGATCCACCATTGGACAGCCTTACTTCTTTCAAGAAGTCGGTTAATGACCCCCTGAAACACAAACAGAAATATTATTTTGATTTTTAATATGTCTCAGATACAAAACAATGTAAAAACTATTACCACCAAATGTATACAAGAGAAGCAACATTGCATTGAAGAAAATAAGCTGCCAGTTCTGCAAACAAATTGTTCTGGCCATTAATACTTACCTGGTAAAATGGGGATACGATGTTGAAAGCCTCTCCATTATTCTCTCAAAACTGTTCTTTCCACGGGTTCCTCCCGGTGTTGCCGTTAGCCCTGCTGGTCCTTTGGCAGCAGGTAAAAATTGCTGGGATGTGGTTTGTTCAGATATCGGGATAGTCCCTCGAACCTAAGAATTAACGTATAGAAACACGATTTTAAAATTACGTCAAAAGTAATCTTTAGATAATTAAACATCAACCAAACCATGTATCTATTTAAAAAGAGATCTGCTGAAGCTTCAAAAAGTGGATATTTATGCAAAGAAAACTTTGGAATTAGGACTGAGAAACTGAAGTAATGTGGCCAAGTGCAGCAAGTCTGGACAATGTTCAGGCTTGGGCTGACAAATGGCAAGTAGCATTCATACCATACTCGTACCAGGCAATGACCATCTCCATCAAAAAAATTCCAAACATCTTCCCTTGACATTCAATGACATAAGCATCACTGAATTTCCCCACTGTCAACATCCTAGAGGTCACCATTGACCAGAAACTGAATATGACTAGCTATATAAATACTGCAACAACAAGAGTAGGTCAGAGGCTTGAAATTCTGCAGTGAGCAACTCACCTCTTACTCCTCAGTGCCTGTCCAACATCTACAAGACACAAGTCAGGAATGTGATGGAATACTTTCCAATTGTTTGAATTAGTGCAGCACCAATAACAATTTAGAAGCTCCAGGACAAAGCAGTCTGCTTGACTGACAACAACCTATCATATGTCTTCAACGTACACGCTCTCGATCACCAACAGCAATAGCAACAGTGTGTACCACCTGCAAAATGTATTGTAACAATTCATGGTGGCTACTTGGACATCACCTTCCAAATTCATGATATTTCATAAAGGAGGACAAAGGCAGCAGATACACTACCAACTTCTGAAAGCTCTCCTCCAAGCCATAAAACCATCCTGATTTGGAATTTTGTCTCTGTTACTTCACTATTGCTGGGTCAAAGCCTGGAGCTCTCTCCCTAACTGCATCGTGGTTGTACCTACACCACACCAACTACAGCAGTTCATGCAAGTAGCTCAGCACTCTCGTCTCAAAAGCAATCAGGGATAGGAAATAAATGTTGGCCTAGAGAATGATGCAAACGTTTTGTGAATGAATGGGGAATAAAAAACCTGACAAAGTAGTTTTAACCTGTGCCACCCATATCGAGAACTTTGCAAATACTTGTTAAACAAGCTGGGGGAAAGGAGATCAACAGAATGATGGAAGGAAAATGTACATTGCAAGCACCTAGGATGTTAAAGTACCAGACGTCAAGTACATCAACAAACTGGGAAAGGAATGTTCCACATTTCATGTCGGCTCAGTTAGCCCAGGAGATACTGGTCCCTGTCATTAGTCTAATCAAAGTTTTGGTTTTTACCTGTTCGTATGCAGCTGCCGAAGCTTCAGCCTGCCCTGTGACACTTGTCAGCCTTCCACTCGAAGACTTCGATGGCCCGAATCCTGTCAGCACATTGTTCGCTTTCGCTTGCAAATGCTGTTCCAGAAAATGCTTCATCTAAAAATGTAGGGAAACAAATGCCTACTGCTTTAGCTTTAATGAAAGCTTTGGTTGCAGCTTTACAGAAATAGAAAATTATTACAGAGCAAAATTAATCTAAAAAGATAACTGAATGTTTTAAAGGAATAACAGTAGAAAGAACATACAACTGCATCAGGGTGTGGAGGTGGTGGTGGAATTTTAATCTTTGGAAGCATGCTCAGTTTCGTTCCACTCTTCACCAAGTTTATCTGTTCATCAAACTGGTTCTAAGAACAAAGGGAATGTCCAAATTACCACAAACAAAGATGTAAGATATTATAACAATTGATTTATTTATTTGATTTATTTATTGTCACATGTATCTTGTTGCAAAATATCATGAAAAACGTTTTACCATTCTCTGGCACCATCTTAAAACACAAAACTAAACGAAAACAAAATATAAAGGCAGAAAAATGAAGATATAAAGAAAGAAACTAGCACAGAAAGACTTGTGAAGAAATGATAGCGTTTTTTTCCCCGTTATGCTATACACTTGCAATAAAATCATATTGAGATTATACTGAAGTGCATTTTCTTCCTAATTTCATCCTGCTTTCCTAAAATAATTCACTTTTACTATAATATTGTTCCAAAGGCACAAGGGGCCCTCTGACCAAAAGAGTATAGGACTTTTGCTATAATAGAGATAACAAGGTGTAGAGCTGGATGAACACAGCAGGCCAAGCAGCATCAGAGGAGCAGGAAAGCTGACACTTTGGGCCTACACCCTTCTTCAGAAATGGTACTGAGTCAGGAGTGTAGAATCGGGACAATTCCTGCCTCTGGACATGTGAACTAGGAGAAGCTGGTCTGGAAGCTGGGACTCTTGCTTCAGGGTGGCTGGATTCCCTTGGAATTGCAGTAGATGAATGAGTGTGGAAGTTGCTGGGTCTGGACACAGGCTATATTAAAGAGTTGACTTGGAGTTTCTCCATTTTATTGATGCCTTAAAAAGGACACTAAAACACAAAACAGTTCTCAAATTCTCATTTCTCACCAATGTGAGGTAAGTGCAGCTCCAACAACTCTTTTGAAATTTGAAACCAACAAGTACAAAGCAGATTACTTGATAAATAACCCCTCCACCACCTTAAACATTCACTCCCTCAACCACCAGTGCATAGTAGTTGCAATACACACTATATGTAAGATACATTGCAACAACTGACCAAGACTCCTTCAAAATCACCTTCCAAATCAGGGACCTCTAACACTGAGAAAAACCAGGGCAGCAGCTGCATGGGAGCACTGTATCACTGAATGTTCACTACCACTGAATCAAAATTCAGGAAATCCCTCCCTAAGAGACGTAGGTGGACTTATGTGACAAAGAGCTCATTGATTCATGAAGTCAACTTACATTATCAATGTATTAAGAATGGGCAAGAAATGTTGAAGATGTCAGATAAACTCACATCTCCTAATGAATTAGAAGAAGTTGATCTTTTGTAATAGCTCCATGTTCTTGCTTTTCATTTCTCACAATTGTTGTGAGAATGAACTATCAATGTTTATGTTTCAGCGTTTGACTTTGATACCTGCAAATTTCCTGGATTAAAAGTGGTACATGCTAACCTAACAAACCCAGCTGATGGTAATACTGGATAAATCAGATTCCAGACTGAAACCTGGCTTGGTAGATCATAAATTTTATTCTTGTAATTTGGTTACTGTGGTGGTCAGTCTCTGAACAGATTCACACATTGTTGTTAAAGTGCTTCAAACAAAAGAACATAACTTCTTTTACAAAAGGAAATAAAAGCTGTATGTACAAGATAGTTTGGAAAGATCTTTAAATAACAAAAACACAATTCAACACTTTTTCAACATTATTTATAACCCTCGATCCTGGTGAAATGCCACTTACATCTTAACTCTTTAATTTCTTATTTAATTATGAGGTTGTAAGTGTTTCCTTTTGACAACTTTCACAAGCCATAATTTTCTCCATTATTAACTCTCCCTGAGATACACAGTCACCAGCTAAATTACTGATGTTTTCTAATTTTAAAAACAATCCCTAACTAATGTGAACTGCCAAATAGTTTAAGACTTCTCCTCAAGTCTGATAGCCTGGAGGTTGCCACAAACATAACTGTCCTGTTGGTATGAGTTTTTTCTTCTCAACTGAAACCTGATTCTGGCCCCTGGCCATTTGACCTTCTGTATATCATAGAAATTCAACTTTGTAAATGGTTCATAAATCAACTCCCAAGGATGGAAAGTCTCAGATATGAGGAGAGATTGGATAGACTGGGTTTGTTTGCCCTGGAGCAGAGGAGACTGATGATCTGATTGAGGTATTCAACATTATGAGAGGCATAGACAGCGTAGAACATGAGAACCTTTTCCCCATGGTAGGCGTGTCTAAGACCAAAAGGCATAAGTTTAAGGTGAGGAGTAAGTGGTTTAGAGGAGATCTGAGGAAAAATATTTTCACCCATAGGATAGTAGAAATGTGAAACGTGTTGCCTGAGAGGATGATGGAGGCAGGTACTCTCACAACATTTAAGAAGCATCTGAACAAGGACTTAAAATGCCAGGACATAGTAGGCTACTGACCAAGTGCAGATAAATGGGATCAGTATAATTTGGTGATTGTTGGTCAGCATAGACATGATGGGCTGAAGGGCCTGCTTCTATGCTGTATGACTCTATGACTCTAGATTGCTTCCTAGTCATTTAACGTAAGTCATGTGCTTTGCTGGAAATACTGGACTCCATATTTTTTAAAAACAGACTTTCTGACCTTTTCTTTTTAAAAAGAAAGTCACCGACACAGAATGAAAATCCACTTGGAACAAAAAAATACTGTTCACTTGGAACTCAAGACCTGTAAACTTCACCACTGTGGAGAAACAAAACAATAACTAGTTGGGGCTTAGCTCATCCTTACAGCTTAAGGACTCTTGAAAACTTTAAAGTGGAACTGCCTTTACATTCCTGTCTATACTGGAAACCCCTTCCCCACTTGGTAAGTTTATTATCAGTGGTTATGCTTTGAAGTCAGGTCTTTATTATTTTTTTCGAGGTAACAAGTAATAAAATCCTACTAGCCTTCACTCAATGAAATCTCCTGACTAATTGGTTCCTTCATTTTGATGTAAATTTAAATTGAAATGTGATAAGAACATAAGGAATTGGCCATTAAGTTCCTCAGGCCTGCCCCACCATTCAATAAGATCATAGCTGATTTGCCCCAGGCCCCACTCCTCTTTTCTGCTAGCTCAGCATAGCCCTCAACTCCTGAAATTTCAAAAATCAATCTACCTCCTGCTTAAATACTTCAAACAATCTAGCTGCACAGCTCTGGGGGTGTCGATATTCAATACTTTCTGGGAGATGAAAATCCTTCATATCTCAGTCTTAAACAAGTGTCCCCTTATTCTGTAGTTATGACTCCTGTTTGAGATTTCTCCACTAGTAGAAACATCTTCTCAACAACAACACTGTCCAGCCCCGTCAGATTCTTGTTTGCTTCAGTAAGATCACCCCTCCTTCTTTTAAACACTAAAGAATAAAGGATGAATCTGTCTAGCCATTCTTGATAAGTAAATCCCTCTATCTCAGGAATCAGCTTAGTGAATCCCTTTTGAACAGTTTCCAATGCAGTATATCCTTACTTAAATTCTGGGACCAAAACTGTACGTGGTATTCTAGCTGCAGCTTCAACAACACCCTGTAGAGTGGTAACCAGAATTCTGTTTGGCTTATT